CCATGTCCTTCACTCGCGTCACTTCCTCCTTCGGGACAAGAGCACACAGTGCAGCAGCAAACGCTGCCACCACGCATCTAGGTCAAGCGGTGCCTCAGACTGTTAACGGCTCCGATCTTCAGGGCACCGTTAGAGGAAGTATTTTGAGATCTACTTTTGTTATTGCTGTGTTGATACACACCCAAGAGCATTTTCTCCATTGCTTTTCAGAGACAGAGTGGAAAGGGAGAGGGACAGGGGAAGAGAGAGAGAGAGAGAGAGAGAGAGAGAGAAACATCAATGTGAGAGACACATCATGCTACTGCCTCCCTCCCGCACGCATGCCCTTGATGGGGAATCAAACCCGTGACCCTTTGGTGTGCGGGCTGACACTCTAACCACTGAGCACGCCAGCCAGGGCTGTTCTCTGCTTTGATTAGCTGTTAGATGAAACATAAGTAATATTTAAAGGCAGGGTTAGGACTTGCATCTACAAATCAGTCATCACACAAACAAAACTTTTAAGTCAACAGATATCACAAACACCTCAGTGTCACCTGTGTGCTGAGCTCTGTCCTAAGTGCCATGAGCCCAGGGCTTTGCTGGGTCCGTGAACCAAACGACCTTGGACAAGTCGCAGCGTGGGGTTAGAGCCAATGGTAACGGGCCCCGTTTGGCTAAGAGAGTAACACCTCATACAGCAACATTCCGACCCAATGAGGAGCCCAGCCGACAAGTGGGAAGTGAGTCCCACAGGCCTCTGAGGAGCTAAGCAATGTCACAAAGTCCACGGCGAGTCCCACAGGCCCTCAGCACCTCCTCACTCTTACGTCCGGCACAGTCATGACCTTGGAGAGCAGAGGCAGCAGACATGCAAGTTGTTCAGGTGACTCCCAACCAAAATGACCTCGGGTGTGTGTTCACACAACAACAACAACAAGTAGATCCCAAAATACTTGTTCAGGGTATCGAATGCGCCGTGAAAAGGAGGGTGGGCCTCCGGTGCCCCTGAAACCGCTACTGTCGCAAGGCTCTTACTAGGAAGGTGCTAGAATTAACATGCTGCTGCGTTAGGGTCCCAACCTCATCCAGGAAAGCGTGACTTCCATTCCAGTTACTCTGTTTAAGACGGGAAGCAGCCCTGGCCGGTTTGGCTCAGTGGATAGAGCGTCGGCCTGTGGACTCAAGGGTCCCAGGTTCGATTCCAGTCAAGGGCATGTACCTTGGTTGCGGGCACATCCCCAGTGGGGAGTGTGCAGGAGGCAGTTGATCGATGTTTCTCTCTCACCGATGTTTCTGATTCTCTATCCCTCTCCCTTCCTCTCTGTAAAGAATCAATAAAAATATATTTTAAAAAATAATAATAAAATAAAAAGACGGGAAGCAGGCCCTGTCGGTGGCTCAGTCAGTGAGCGTTGTCCTGTACACCCAACGGCTGTGGGTTCAATGCCTGGTCAGGGCACACACCCAGGTTGCAGGTTTGATCCCCAGTCGGGATGCATATGGGAGGCCACCGATCGATGTCTCTCTCTCTCTCCCCATTCCTCTCTCCCCATTCCTCTCTCTAAAATCATAAAAAACCATCCTCAGTGAGGTTCCTCATCTCTGAACGGATGCCACCGCTTCCCAAGGGCTTCTGGTCTG